CCAACTTTTCTTAAAGTCAGGATTTTTGCAGCTGCACTTACAAACATAATTACAACCTTATAATTAAGGTTGAAAATATGTCAAACATTTTAAAAAATACAAGTCCTTGTATATACTGTGTGTATGATTTGGGTTTTGTTTTTTTTTTAAAACCAATTTAACAATACCCATTTTAAATCAAATAAATTTACCTATTTCCATTTTAACACCTTTTATTACATTGCAATTTAAAAACATTCCTGATTAGCATGCAAAATTAAGTTTTAAAAGGTTATAACAAAATAACGTGGTCTCAAATGTGTTTGTACCACAAATATTTCAAGTTCATATAATGTTCAAGAATAGGTTAAATATTACTGGACAAAGAATCTTATTCATACATTTGATAAACTTACATAGTGCACATGTTGATACCAAAGAGTTTTAGAATTCATTTTATTGACAATTACTTAAAAGATACTCAAGGAAAAATGAACAGGTCACGATTTAATAAAAGTTAACATAAATAGGCAAAATGCAATGTATTGACAAACCACTGAAGAGCAATGCAAAGTTTTTAGACTTCAATGTTAGATTAAGCCAACATATTGTTTAAGATACAATGTTAGAAGCTAAATGAAGAACAAAACAAAGGACTTAATGTTGTTGTAAGTCTATCAAATGTTAGCAGTATTTTCAGCATTTTGTACTCGTCCTCAAATCAAAGTTAAATTTATAAAGTATTTGAAAAGAATATCATTACTTGACATAAAAGTAAACACACATTCTGAGCAAAAATATACAAAACAAGCAATCAAAGGACACCAAGGTTCCCATTAACAATCCTAGTTTAGATTTTATAAACATGAAATACTATCACCACCAGGGGAAAGTTTGGTTAAATTGTATCAAAATACCTAAAATACCTAAACAGTATCAAAGTTCTGTAAGCCCAAATAAAATATAAAGTAAGGAGCATCAATCAAACAGGCACTTTTTAGTTTATATTTTAAAATGAACTTTTTTTCATTCATGTAAGTTTCTCTAGTGTCTATTTACTATAATTTACTACTACTAGGCTTCTGTATGGCCCTCAGTTAAAGTTTAGACTTCTGAGATTCTTCAAAGAAAAATTTGCCTTGTATGTAAAATGGTGCAATGCAGCAATGGCTAAACCGACAAGGTCGTTTTTCACAGAACAAAAAACCTAAAAACTGAAATTCAGAAACTGAAAAAGCATAACAGAGAAAGGGGCTCCCTTGAATAAAGGTACATTACCTTTTGACTCTGACATGGGCCCTTAAGTCACAACACAACTTTCAGAAATTGCTACCAAAAAAAATTAGGGTGTGGCATATTAACAATCTCAAGGTCATGCCTTAAAAAAGGAATCAAAATCAGTTAAATGTTTTGTATTTAGTATGGGCAGTAAACCAAAGCTGTCAAGGTAAACACTGTATTCAGAGGTTTTTAAAAAATAAAATAAAGTTGATAGATCATACCTCGATGCATTGCTGTGTACTGAACCCTCCTCTCCTTGGCTTTTGTCCTCATTTCTCATCATCTTTTAATTCTTAAATATTAAAGGGGGGTATCTGTGTTTGCTTTGATGTCCTGTGCCCAGGTATTTACTGTCAAAAGTTGAAAGAAAGGTAAGGTCCCAGTTTGTTTCATTGGCTTTCGTTATCAAGAACAAAGTCCTGACGCTGCAATGATAGTTATAACAATACACAACACTGATCAGCACAGGAAAACGGACATTTAAAACAATAATATTCATTTTAAAAAGAAAAAATTGGAAGAGAAACAGCCCAGAGCAGCATCCTGCAAACTTTCCCAAAGTAACAGAGGAAGCAAAAAATCTCTGTATTTTATTGCGTCATTCCCAATACAGCTCAAATCGGTCGAAAAGTCAAAGTACTCAAAAACGGCAGAAATCTGAAAAATAATAATATTGATTGCCCACCTACCTGATCCATGCACCACCGCCAGGACCAAGCCGATATTAGTTTCGGGTAGTGGAAAAACATCAGATGCAAAATATTTGGAGGTAAAACGATAACTATATATTTTTAGATAATAAAAAAATAAATAGATTCTAATCCCCAAAAATATACTGCTGTGAAAGCAAAAGCAGCGATAATTAGTACAAAAAATGTCCGGGGGAAAAGCTCATTAGGAGAGCGCACAAAAATGGAGGTACGCCATGGCTTCTAAGCTGGAAAAACAACGACCTGGGCTCTCTCCACGGCTTCTTCTTTCCAGCAAGGCACGAAAAGAGAGCCTCCAAAAGCTGCTTTTCTGCCCGAAAAAGGCTCAATTAGCCCCCGATTCGTGCCTAGAACAGGTAAGGGGCTCTGGGGGCCCCCTGAGGCTGCCCAAAAGTTAGGGAAAGTTGCGTAAAGTGTTGGGAAGGCACGGAGCTCAGCGCGCTCTCTCTAAGGCACAGCCGCCATCTAGAGCTCCTTCCCAGCTCTGAGCTCTGCCTTTGATTGACACTCTCTACATTTACCCCACAACTCAGGTGATGTACCATAGACCCACCCCTTCATTTCTACCAAAAAAAAGAGATAGCCTCTACCTAAAGGGTGCCTGCCACCCCCCACATCCTTGGCTTCTTCAAACCACCCCATCTGAGGGGGTACCTTAACCCCATCTGGCTCAGACACCCTTTCCAAGCCAGAAAGAAATGTAATTTGTTTCTTTTGTTTTAAAGATTTGCTAAATATTTCAGTCCATGGGCTAAAATTACTTCCTCCCTGGACAGGAAGTGGTGCTGTAACAAGCCATTTTGAAAGAATGGAAGAGGGACTAATAGCCAGATTTGAGCAACAACCCTCCTTGGAAGTCAACCCCACCCAATGGGTAGCAATTTTTTTTTAAAAATTCAATCAAAAAAAAAAATCTATCTTCCATCAATAATCCCTTCCCTTGTCACTCAATACCTATAATTTAAGATTGAAAAATGGAAAGTCACTACACCCTAAAGAAAGCAGTTTGACAGTAACCCTTTCAACTCAACAGCGCCTCCCTAGTGGTTCTTGAGAAGAGCAAAATTAAATAGCTATGTTATTTTAATTCATTAACCAAAGAGACTATTGCAAAAAAAAATATAGCACCCAGGTTGAGTATTGCCCATTTCTTAACCCATTAGTGTTTATAATAGATCTTAACATCCTAAAGTGGACTTTTTACAGTAATGTAGAATTCAAGGTCCAGAATTAGTTATTCATTATAAGCCAAGTAAAATCTCAGGTACTACGTCCTGGTAGAGAAAACACCACTCATTGAGGAATTGGAAGGGATCTAAGCACAAGAGATGCCCTTATGCCCACTACTCCTCCCCCAACAACAAGCAAAAGTGATAACCAACTAGAAGCATCACCTAAGCTTTTCACACATTTATTATCCATTTTACAAGATATTGGAATCAGGCATCAGTGTTCAGATTTTTTGGTACTGTTTTGATTGGGGCTTTATACTAAGTGCATCAAAAATGGTACACTACCCCAACCAATGGCCAATAGCAAGTTCAACCAGTAAAACCCAAGTTATTTTCTTTCAGCTCCTCCATATCCTTCCCATTCTTGCCCTCAGTCAATCCACCCTGTCTCTTCAATGCAGTAAAATGAGGGTTGTGTAAATTTGATGTGCTATACCAAAATAGTGCAATATTGACTGGTGAGTGATTATATAAATATAGAAGAAAACTAGTGACCCTCTGCGCACACAGCAAATTAAAAAAATAAATTACAATGTAAAAAGAGCACTAATTCCAAAGTGAACTTTAACAGTACAAAGAAAATCTATTAATTTGAATACTCAGTCTTTTTTAGACAGTCTAATACTCAACCGCACCATATAATAAATGGCAGAAACAAGACTGGCTAGGTAAGTGTGTACATTCAACACTGCACAATTAAACAGTTATGAACAGCCATTATCATATGTTAAGAATGAAGATTTCCAACAATTTATCTCAATGAATGACAGCTGAACATCTCATGCTAAATCTACAATATTTGTCATTTGGAGATCCCTTTTGTCCAGATTATCTCAATTAACACCAGGTCTGTCCTGGTATTCAAATGTGAGGAGAAAAGTTGGGCTACCTGTTCAAGATGAAATTTAAGTATAAAATTGTTTCTCTGTAGCCAACGGTTGACCAATAACATACATTTCTTGTAAGTGGCAACGTGATTTTTGAACAATAACTGACTTTTAAAAATACTACTTCACATAGGTTAACTTTGGTGTTTTTTATCTAGTAACAAGAAAGATCAAATAACTCCACTTAACACTTATTTGTAAGGAATTAAGTCAACAAGAAATTCACAGTATACAGGATGGCCATGAACTGTATTGGACACTTGCACAGACTAATTCTAATCCATTTTAAATAAATTGGTTTAAACACTCATTAAGACAAGGTACTCAACTCCACAGAAGTAAAAAAATTTAGAATGGTATAGGGTTTTTTTTTAAATCAATCCAAAATGTAACAGAAGTTTCCAACACAAAGCACATGAAATTTAGCAAAGAAGTTGTTCAGGCAACTCATTTGAAGTTCACTATAAAGGTTTTGTATACACACCCCTCCACACAAACAACAACAAAAAAAGATAGTTCAGGATGACCCTTCACTGCAAACCAATGGCCATGCATTTTATTGCCTAGTTTGCCAATATATTTGAAATTTGTACCATCCTATGATAGCTTCAGAAAGTTTAACAAAAGGACTTTGACAACTGACCAAGTACTCAACAAGATAAAAAATTGAACATTTTAACTCCATGGATAACTAAAAATAAAATATTGGACATTGAGAAACTGAGGAGTCTTTGAAACCAAATATAGCCATATTTCAAATGAAGTATTTCATAAAACTTACAAAGCCCTCAGTATTTACCAGCTTTAAAAATATTTCTCATTTTCAGTGTCCATTGATCAAAGAAATTTAATGCACCTAAACATCAATATATTCCAAGTATTTTTCAGCCAGGAAAAAGACAAACCAAGAATAAAGTGTAAAAAAAACATTTATTAAACACATCACTTAAAAATAGCATAACAATACATTTTGCCCAAATAGGTAGTATATACCTGATATCAACTTCATTCCCCTGTTAAGTATACATTTCTTGGAGTATAAAAATTTTGCCACCCATCCCTCAAAAACAGATCCATTTTCTGTACACTTGTACAACACCCTTCAGAAATTCAAGTCCATTTTGGTAGGATGATCACAAACCCAAATCTTCTCTGGTTTAGTAACATTGAAGTCCATGTTAAAGTGTCCCTGTCTTGGATGGATATATCACAGCACTCATTCATTAGTCCATTTCCTCAACCTCTCAATCAACAGTGGAACTGCCATCTTGGTTTCCCATTCGTAGACTCCATTTGACACTCTTCATCTGACTTGACTCTTTATAAAAAAATTAAAAGAAAAATGCTGTTGGAATATAGATAATTTATCCTTAAACTAAACAGACAACATTCAACTATGTACCTTGAAGGCATTTTAAACATGAATTTTAGAACTAAGGCTTCATGAATTTGATTCAATATAAATTATACATGCCAGAACACCTGCTTTTTTTCACCAACTAACATGGGCCGCATGACATGTAACAGTTTCCAAAAATACAAATAAATACTACAGGGAAAAGTAAGAGTTCAAGAAACCTTTTGAGCATAATGAACTCAGTACTAAAATTTTGCATAGGGAACTATTAAATTAAATACAGAGAGATACTTTCAAATACAGAGGGATTTTACCTCTGGTGACAAACTTTACTGGATTGACCTATCCACTAAAGTTAATGTAAAACACAAGTACTTCTAGCCAAACAGTAATGGTCTCAAATCAAGTTGAAACTAAGCTTAATTTTTTGCTATTAGATGAAGTTTTCAACTATGTCCCTCTCTCTGCTTAAAACACACAAGTAATCAAACAATGCCAAAGGTATGAAAGCTAGGTTACTATATGAAGGTGTTGACTGGAGTCAATAGAAATTCCTGAAGTTGTGCCATCTTGGCTCTAGTCTTCTAGTCTAGAAAGAGCAACACCTATGGTGATGGTCATTTTAAAGTGACCAAATATCAGAAAATAGACGGAATGGTCATTTCAGTAGCTACTGGATGAGCAAATGTGTCAAAATCAGGTGGAAATTATGCAAATTACACTGCTTTGTCTCATTGCTTTCAACAACCAGCATAATGTCTCTTCCCAACCATGCTTCCTCCAGCCATGAACTCAAAGTTTGCTCTTCATAAAGCCGCAACACGGCACCAGATCAGTGACAAAGTTAGAAATGTCCAAATGAAGCATTATTGTGACTGCCATTAGAAGTGGGACATTTGGCCCAACAGATCAAGTTATCTTGCCTCTTGACTTTAAATTACATCATTGCTACTGAAACACAAACCAAATGTGGCCCAAAGACAAAAACTAATGTACTTTTTTTAAACTGCTATTTGCACGCATATAAACATAAACCTTAAGTACAGGAAACAACTAAATGGCAGAACAACAAAAACTCAAAAAGCCTACAAGCCAGCAACGAAGTGCTAAATGTAGGCAAAACCCTCTGAACTGTACAAGAAATGGTTTTCAATAATTGTTTCCTCAATAGTGAATTTGCATTCTATCTTTACATTTGTGACCTTTTATTTCCTTCTTTCGAATGTGGCTTTTTAACTTAACACGCAGTTTAATTTTACAGCCAATTCTACCACTATCTGGTCCCCTTAAAAAAAACCCTCCAGGCATAATCTTTCCAGGTAAGAAAGGCTGCAAAATTAATTACAAAAAAAAGACAGCAGAATTGAGTGGCATCATCTAGTGTTTTGCCTCATCATTCAAGTGCCACTATTCTTATTTCAAAATATCCTGTCAAACTATGTAAAATCTAACTATGAAGTCCTTATAGCAATCTGTTCCGGGTTAACGATTTGCCATTTACCATGTTTCATATCCCAGTATTCCTATATGGATGAACTGATTTTTCCTCCCATTTCAGATAGATGGAATAGAGGTACATAATGTAAGTGGAATACAGGAGCGGCTATTTAGATTCAACTTTTAGTTGCATCGTATAGGTGGTAAGTTGAGGGTAGGCAGAATATTCAAATCACAGGGTCTTCCCATCTTCAACCTCACATACCTCAAGGTTTTTTTGGTTTTGTTATTGATTTGTTTTGTTTTTTAATTCAAGTGGTATTTCTTCTTTAGGGGGGGGTAGCAATTTTTAACTAATAGTCTCTAAACTGAAAAACTTACTACAAATTTATTATGTATCATATATTGTACATACTAATTCAGATTTAAACCAATTTAGGCACTTGGAGATTAGTCCATGTTTCAAAATATTTTTAGGAACTAATGAAATGTGATTAAGGCACCAAAATATGACATAACCACACTGTCAAATCTGGTCAGTGAGACAATATCCTTTATTGGACCATCTTCTGGTCCAATAAAACCCACCTTCTCTCTCTAATACCCTGAGACTAACACTGATACAATTCTTGCCAGTGTCAAATATTTGGGAATATTGGGGTGAGTGAAGTGGATACTCAATACCTAACGAAATTCACCAAGTTTCTTGTTTCTTTTTATGGTTACTGCTTCTGTTGTAAGAAATAAGGGAAGCCAAGTATCTGATAACCATAGTACACTTTTTTTTTTTTTTTGGCAGTTCAACCCATGAAAACCTACTTTTGTTGGGTCATTTCACTGAGTGCAAAGCAAATGTAAGCGACTGGATAAAAGAAGGCTAACGGCATTTTGGGCTGTATAAGTAGGGGCATTGCCAGCAGATCAAGGAACAGGATCATTCCCCTCTATTCGGCACTGGTGAGGACTCATCTGGAGTACTGTGTCCAATTTTGGGCCCCACACTACAAGGATGTGGAAAAATTGGAAAGAGTCCAGCAGAGGGCAACAAAAACGATTGGGGGCTGGAGCACATGACTTATGAGGAGAGGCTGAGGGAACTGGGATTATTTAGTCTGCAGAAGAGGAGGGGGGGATTTGACAGCTGCTTTCAACTACCTGAAAGGGGGTTCCAAAGAGGATGGATCTAGACTGTTCTCAGTGGTACCAGATGACAGAACAAGGAGTAATGGTCTCAAGTTGCAGTGGGGGAGGTTTAGGTTGGATATTAGGAAAAACTTTTTCACTAGGAGAGTGGTGAAGCACTGGAATGGGTTACCTAGGGAGGTGGTGGAATCTCCTTCCTTAGAAGTTTTTAAGGTCAGGTTTCACAAAGCCCTGGCTGGGATGATTTGGTTGGGGATTGGTCCTGCTTTGAGCAGGGGGTTGGACTAGATGACCTCCTGAGGTCCCTTCCAACTCTGATATTCTATGAAAAGACATCAGCCCTAAGGTATCTCTGCTTGGTTCAGCCATATTTGGTTGTACCAATGAGTTTGCAAACAACTGACATAGTGGTAATCTGAATCTCTCATCTTGAAAATACCAACACCACTTTCAGATGCATACACTTATCTAAAGTTACTATTTCTGTAACAAGATCCTGCAATGAAAGGAGTTACAATAAGAGGGAAGTATTAATAGCATTCAGTAAATAATTTAAAATAATTTGGACCCAATTCTTCAAACTACACAGCTACAACTGTGTGTTATGTTTTTAGAGTACATGTAGTAAACATTTTAACACGTTTTCCCAAGTTAGATTCTTCCTCCAGTAAGACTTCTACAGTGGCTTTATGTTTTTTATAAACAGTCACACTGATCATTTATGACTAAGATTCTTCTTTTCAGTACATGAAGCTTATGTTCTCTTTACATCCTTCTGTAGCAGGGGTTGGCAACGTTCAGCACCCTGGCGGGCCGGGCCAGTTTTATTTTCCTGCTGACGCGGCAGGTTCGGCCGATCGCGGCCCCCACTGGCCGCGGTTCGCCGTCCCGGGCCAATGGGGGCAGTGGCGCAGGCAAGCGATGTGCTGGCCGCAGCTTCTCGCTGCCCCCATTGGCCCAGGATGGCGAACCGTGGCCAGTGGGGGCCGAGATCGGCCAAACCTGCCGCGTCAACAGGTAAATAAAACTGGCCCGGCCCGCCAGGGTGCCTACCCTGGCGAGCCGCGTGCCGAACGTTGCCGACCCCTGTTCTGTAGAGTCATAGCATTAGCCATCACTCTGTTGCTCAAGTTCTCTTACCTACTGGCTATTGTATTTTTATTTCAAATTAAACAAGATTTATATTTAGGCTACTCAAAGCCGTTTGTACAATGCTTGGTAGGTTTCCTTCACTTCGTCAAAATATAGAAATGCCAATCTTTATTAACAGTCCACTGCAATACCTGAGTAAATATTCAAGCACCAAACAGATTTGAAATTTTAGAATTTCAAAATTTATCTTCTCTTCACACTATCATAATACATATTAACTTTTTGCTCTAATTTAAAAAGATGATTTTTTGGAGGAGTCCACTGCAACAAATAAAATTTCAATCTTTTGTAGCCAAAAATAAGTGTTCAGTTTTACCTCTTATGTTTGTCAAAAACCCACAACAGTTCCCTAAAGTACAGTTGGGAAGTCCAAACATGCAAGCATAAAATATACTTATCAATAACATGTATAGATAAAATACCTAAGTTATAAGATTCTTATTTCAAACAAAGAAGGCTAACTAGAAAGACTGTCAAGCTTTACATGCTTAAGACTTTTCCGTATATTAGAATTTTTTAAAAGTTACAACTTCACAACAAAGGAAAGCTATTTAAGAGGGAAATCCCAGTCGAGGTAAATGGGCAGGAACAAGTTCCGAAGTTTAGAACTTGAGGCTTTTACTTTGCCATGGGTTTACCAAAGCAAGTCTTCCTCTCAGAGACAGAGCTGTAATGGACTTGTATATTAGTGCCACTCTTTCGTTATAGGATGTGGAAATAGGTGAAATTCTCACCCATACAAGAAGGTAGATCTTCATGGAGAACAAAATACAAGAAGGTCCTTCACTGATCTCAGACGGCTCACTGTAGTTTTATCCAGTTAAAAAATGTGGAGGGGTAAGCACTACAGGTGGTTTCCATGGGAAAAACTAGTTGACTTCCATTGACATCAATATGAGTTTTGCCTAGGTAACGATAGGAATTTTGTTTGTTTTGTTTTTTTAAAGGCTGTCTCAGGGATGAAAGACTATTAAACTAGACAATGAGACGATCATAACTTTACACATTTGGAACTGTTGGGTTCTGATATATGACACTGATGTTCATGGTGTAACTTTAAATAGGACAAGGCATTGTTAGCTCAGGGAAGTTTTCTTCCAGCTCTCAAGGATTTATATTGTATCTGAAGTTAAGGGTCCAAGAATCTTTGGTCACATCTTATAGATCTAGACTGTTTTGAGGTTAAGTAACTTCTGAAAGGTACCTTTGAAATCAAGCTGAGGACAAAATTTGCAAACACAAACAGCACAGCACCTTAAAGAGTTGTTGGGCTGGATTAAAGGTAACAGCCCACATAAAATTTCAAAATATCATGTAGAGTACACCAACTCCAAAAAGAAGGTTTATGGTGAACTCAAATGCTTTTATTTCTTATTCAAAAAACCTTTCAAATCCAGATCACTAGCCCTAAGTTTAAACTTAGTTTACAAACATTTTAAAGGAAAACATTTTAAAGATAATTCTTCCTCAAATTAAGTTCAGGGCTTCTGTCTCTCTCTCCTAGAGATTATTACAAAGCACCATAAGGAAGTGAATAACTTCCCAATGTACAGGGTAACTGGGATGTCTTCAACTGCTGCTGGAGAAACATAACCCTACTACAATGAGTTTATAATCCAAATTAGAGAAAGAAAATGAAGAAAAAGGGTATAGGGAAAGTTGGGGTGAAATGTAACTGTTGTTAACTTTAACTTTCACCCCTCTTTTCCATGACATACCAAGAATTATACAGGTTCCCATACTTTTAACAGAAGTTGAGACAGGGCAAGAGGGCTGAGGAGGAAGAGAACACAATGGTTTCTGGTGGATAGCATGGCAAAAGTGGGTTTAGAAGAGTGAAGATTACTTGGAACATAGTAAGAGATATATTGTTCCATATGTAGGAAGCATTAAAAAAAGCAGCACAAAAAAGAGAAGACAAGTAGAGCGGGCAGGGTACAAGGGAACCAAAAAAAAAAGGAAAAAGGAAAAAAGGAATGATATGTAGTCAGTGAATTAAAAAAAGCAAGAAACCATATACAATACTAGTTGCACCTAAATTTGGCAGCAAGGTCCTGGTATTTTGCAGTACTCTAGTGTGGCAGTTTGGAGATTCTAAACATCTTAATTTAAATTAAGAACTACGGCTTTTAATGAATGAGAAGGAGCCAAAAGAGTATGTTTCTACCCCCAATTATTTTTATAATTAAAATAAAGTCTTATACCTCCTCCACCAATTTTCTGTTTACAATACGCTCCAAGGGTTTGTCTAGACAAGGCAGGACTTTTGATTTACTTATCAGTAGGAAGCTAGAAGCTTTGGCAGCCAGGGAGGCAGCAGTTGGGTTTTTGGCACCTGCGGAGGCATGGAAGGCAGTTTGAACAGAGAACAACATTAGCTGGATGTCTCTACTAATGTGAGGCACAATGAAACAGTCATTATCCTCAGGTTTCAGAGTTAACATCCTAATATGATGATGGAAGCAAGTCACACCTTGAAGCTACTGGTTCAGGCTGTCTGCAGACTAAGGAAAACACCACTGAATGAGTTAACTTTTCACATTTGGAAGATTATCTTCACAAATGAAAAAGTGTGTGTTAAATGCAAGTTTAAATTCTAGAGCACAGTTCTGCAGCAAAGTAAATTCCATGGCAAATTGTGCCACTGCATAAACACAAAATGCATTGAAAATTAGGGCAAAGATAATGTTATGCAGAGATACGGAGTCAACAAGAGGACTTAAATTTGGGCAGATAAAAGAAACTTGACTCTCAGTACCTGTTTTAAAGGTCATACAAAGTAGTCCAAGGATACATTCTTTTTAGCAAAATATAATTCAACAAGCAAGTTGTATTTCCATTTTCATCCCAAATGGTGGCACTAGATATAATCAAGTCTTCTCTCCTACTCAAACCTGACAACTTTGCATTTTGACTGAACTGAGGACTATTCCTAAATGAGACCCTATAAACTACTTGTTCAATGTGGTAGGTTATACCCTAAACTCATAGCATCCTTTGTGAAATTACAGATCTTTGGAATAAGAAGGGGGAAAGAGCTCTGAGTCTTAGAAAACTCCCTGGAGATAGTTACTAACTAGTCGGCTTAAGGACCCTTGTTGCTGTTGATAGGCGCGCACAAGGACAAAGCGTGGCTAATGATATTAATAGGATGCTTAAGACATTCTTTCTGTTATGTGATTTTCTATTTTATACCACAAATTGAGACATAATATTGATGAAGTACTGTACTATTTGTACAAGGTAACATATTTGATATATTGTAGTCTGTACAAATACAGATTTGATTTAATGTTTTATCCTTTGTTCTCATCAAGAAGTCACAAAAATGGAAGACCAAGAGTGCCACAGCATTATACGAAAGATTTAAAATTGATTGAAAATACTATCTAAAAAGTGCATTTCATAACATCACCAAAATAAGAAGAGTTCAGGACTCTGGTACTTTTAAATAAACCTATTTTTATTTAAAATATGCTTCAAGTCAATCAAGTTTAAGGACATTTTCAATCAAAAAAATTTCAGCAAATTAAACATAACTATAAATCATATATTTTAAATCACATGCAAGTATATTAAGAAAAATAACTTACCAATGCTTCAATCAACATCAGCTATTTTGTGCATCCTGAGATCACCACATTCCTCACCACATCTGTAGGGGAAAACATACATTAAAAAACATTGGAAAAATCATTCAAAACTTAAATTCACTGATTTTTATATAAACACCAGAAAGTGCCATCTTCAGCCTAGCACAAAGCTGCCACTCCCCCCAACCACATGGGATTGTGGTATGTACCCAATAAAAGACAACAAGAAAGCATACAGCACTTGTCAGAGGACATGCACTAATCACAATTTGCACCTCAACGTACTGCTAGGCAACCTGGGATGGCAAACTTCTTATGGAAACTCTTCCACAATTTAGAACTACCCTCCACACCCTGGATACATTAATCTCCAGTGACACATCACAGGTGCGATTTGAAAAGAGGCTACATCTAGCACTTTTGGAAACCAAGTAAATGGGAAAACTAACCAGGCACCAGTGGAATCTGAAATGGATTCTTGTGTGAAACGCCCTTATGCTTTCAGCCTACTTCTTCCACTTCATTCACTTTCTAAATAGTTTGCTAATTACCAAAGAACTGATACTGCAGTTAAATATAGTACATGTATTAACCAAACTTTGCCAAGCAGCCAATTTTCCTTGTACGGCAACTACAACATAGAAAAACTCTAGTTTTCTACATGTGGTCAGCTTCGGAACCGATTATTTCAGTAAGAGTCTATTGACAGCCCATATCAATAGGTATTAAAATATCAGTATACTTCTAATAGAGACAAGAAAGTAAATGGCTCCACCCACAACAACCCATAAAGCCTCCAGAAAGCAAACTAATACCAAAAACTCTTTCTTTGTGATTACACAATTATAGAAAATTTTAAGTAAGTTACGCTTCTCAGCTGAGCCAATAATTGATACAGATACTGTCTGAATCCTAGATCTCCCCGATGACAAATAACTAATTTAATTTAAAAATTAAGAATAAATTTTTCAAAAACATTTAAGAGACTAAGGAGCATACGACTCATTAAAAGTTAACAGGATTTAGACTCCTAAATCACCTAACTTTGGTTAATGCTGGCCTTAATCTAAATTATATCAAATGAGTCTAAAATTCTCTTGCTAACAGCAGTTGACCAACAAAGGTTCTCCCATCACCTTCAAAATCTATTTTTAAGAGAAATGCAACCTTTGATATGAATGTATTCATATTCAATTCTCACAATAGTTTTAATATTTAATGTATAGATTTCTAGATTCTGATATTTTACTTCATCTTTTCCCTTCAAGTTACTCCCTTTATTTATTTCCCTTTCCCACATCAGATTTCCATTTTAAACACGTTTCAAATGATCTAGTTCCAACAATGTAATTACAATTTTATTCATAAAACCTGGTTTCTTTCCACACATCTGGGTATCCATCAAACTTGAGTGGTAACCAGTATGCAACTGACAGTTTACTTAAGTATGATATATAAGGAGTTTATAGGACTAAAATGTGTATTTAAATGTGATCCAACAGTATATAGCATTCAACAGTATTTGTTTTATTCAGTGTTTTTAATTTCTCATTCAATCAGCCAATAGAGATTCCTCTGCAAAGCAACCTCAAATTTTATAAAGTGTTATATAACATATAAAGATAAGTTTGTTTGTCCAATTGAGTGTTTATGTCTATCACTTCCCTCTTCCAAGAAAACATCTAGCACTAGAGACTTCATAAAAGGTAACTAAACAAAGCTATGACGAAAGGTTGAACTTGAAAGTCCAATCTTAGACACTTCTAATAGTGTATCACATTATCTAGTTTCAGAGATCATTTTTGTTCTAGTTTAAACATCTTGTTATTTTCATGATGACTCTACTGGGCGATAAGTCATTTGGCTCTACTCAGGTTATAATGGCCCAGTCAAACACAGACATACCATAGTTCAATTACAAAGAAAGCAGATTTGAGAACATGAATGTTCTTTTAAAGTCAGTACAATTTTGGAAGAGGAAGCTAACATTTGGTAAGCAGACAGTTGTCAAAAGTGTCTACTGGATGAACTGAAAAAGAATGTTCCCAGACAATGGCTCCTCTCCCTAAGGGATGGCATACTATCAAACTCTAAAGGTGTCTTGTATGTCTAACGTGGTCTCTTTACTCTGCTGCAGTGCAGTCAAGGTGAGGCTCACTTGTTTTTAGATGTCATGTTTTCTGGTTAAATGCAACAGGGACTAAAATGATTCCAGAGCATAAACAAACTGTTTTATGGATTCCATGACACATTAATATGCTCTCAGGCGTCTTGAAGTGAGATCTTTCCTTGATTTCCTAGAGGTGTGAACTGAGTTGACTGAGGCCTATACACTGTATTTAAAGAACAGCTGCCAATATAGTAGATCAAAATATGTAAGATTTGAATTAAAGGGACAAGAAGTGAGGATCTAAATAACAGTCAAAATGATTAGAGAACATTAGAGACCATAGTTTTCACAATATATTCAGTACAAAGAATGCCATGGTCGTACAGGATGAGTTCAAGGTCATTAAGATCAAAGGATTCTTTCCCAAATGCCCTTATAAAAGTGTTTGTTAACCAAACCGGGTCAACCTATGATGTCTAACGTAGATTTGTATTTGTGAATAGGGCAACCACGACTGAAGATTTTGGATCTTAAAAAGGCTTGACCAAAGGAATAAAAATCATGAATTTCACAGATTAAGTGTAAGAATTATCATCAGGATTTGAGTGTACTGTTCTACCATAATTACAAGCCTGTTTTGGGCTCTCTCATTGGTAGATTATTTGAGACCTGGACTTCGTAGCATTCTGTTCCAATAGACTGAAGATTCACATCACATGTCACATGCATCTTTTCAAAGATACCAGATAATTTCTTATAAGGACTCCTAATTCTCAAGTTTCATATTTTACAATTACATGACTGACTTGTTAAATTTTACACAGCATCCTCATTCAAAATTTTGTTTTCCTGCAGTCTGCCTCCATTGTAAGCTATATGACCGCTTCTCTATATAAATTAATTTATTTGATTTGTGTGTCATACTGGCAAGAACTCTCGGTGTGGGTAAAAAGAAGACTAACTTTCAACTGCTACAAGCAGAGACACTTGAAAAGTTATATATCTGTATTTGAATAGTTAAAGCAATTAGCTGGAACAGGCTAAAATTTACCTCCAAGCTAGAATAGGTATCTGTACTCTATCAAGTGGGAGATCTTATGAGAATGGTGTTGATTTTTCCTAATTTTTAGTTTTATGTAAAACAGTTTTGGGGGTACACTGTAACATACATAATTCATTAAGATTCATTTTAGGATTCTCAGTTCATTTGAATCTCTTCATCAAGATGGTCTTAAGATTTAATGACTTGAATTTGTATATTAGTATGGTAACCTGTAAGAAGAAATCTGTGATTAATACAAGCACCAAGATAGATCAAGAATGCCGAGCTACATTTGAACCATGTTACCTTTTATCAATCTAAAAATGTCTCAAATTCAAAGGTAGTTGAAAATTAGTCTACTTAAGTTCTAGAAATAACAAGGTATCTAACACTACTAGTGCTTTGGCTTCTCATTTTTATAGCAGTAGGATTTTAGATGGTAAAACATCCAAAAGGATTTTTTTAAATGAAGTGCATGAAAGCCCAAACAGAAAAAACTTGAAATATGATCATGAAGTAATGAATTCAGGAACAATGCATTCCTGAAGTTTAACTCAAACTTTATATATACACTTATGTGCTGCTGCATATGGAGAAACGTAGAAATATCTGCCTTGAGTTTCTAAATTCTTTACTTTTAATTTACGTTACTATGCAATATATTTTAGATGGTACAGATCCATCTCCTTTTACTGAATGGACTGTCCCATAATCTTGAGAAAAGATTGTATTTAGAGGTCACGTCAAGAATATTATGAACTGTATTTAGTATGCACTAAAATTTGAATGCAAATCCTGAGCAAGACACCATTCATTTACTGTGCTAAGTACCCTTTAATGCCTTAAACAAATGCCACAGCATAAGTTTAATGCTTATTTGCTGAAAAAGTGAATTTTAAGAGATTAACAGAATCACTAATATTACGTACCTGATATGAACACTATAGAATTTTGAACGTTTCCTTTTATTCCAGGTTTAATAGATCAGCCACTGCAGCCAAGAAACAGTACCCAGGTACAATCCTTTAAAAAAGGAACAAAGAAGTTTGTTTAAAAGATCAAAAGCTATCCAAAAGATTCCACCTACACTTCCGCCACAGGACTATCTAAATGTATTAGTATATTTCTTTAAACACAACTTTCTAGTGATTGCATATTAAAGTTCTCATCTAAAGTATAAAACAAGCACATGGAAAGTAACATCATGGTACAAAATTAGAAATAATAAATGTAAATAAATTCTTTAAAGAACCTTAAACGTTCAGGCTCTTCAAAAAAACAGCTAGGCCCCCGAGACACTTCTTGTAATTAGCGTGTACGTTGGTTATTCAGTTTTTGATGCCATGTTTAAAATCTACAATATGCCTAGGTGAACTTGTTTTTATTTAACTTTAGAATGCAGAATACAAATGACCTACAAAATTCAGTACATTTTTTCACTTAGGAAAATTGGGTAAATGAAATAGGAAGTTTTCGAAGTAAAGTGATGAGCTTTTTCACCAAAATTCAGTCAAGATTGTTATAGATTAATTCATCTTTTAAGCTATTAGAACAAAATTAATTTGACAGAATAGCTATCAAGCACACGTTACATGAAATTTTAAAAATGGGGCATTTTTGCATCTTATACCTACATTAAAACATACCCTTTAAAATCCAGATAATTTTGTAGTGTACCCCATTCAATTTAAGAATAAGACTTGCAAAACAAAGGTCACTTTTACCTTTCCTAGTAAAGCACAGCAGTAGACAATTAAACAAACCCCCAAGAACGAGAAAGTAACTGAAAGTGGTAATGATGCTGTGTAAAATTTAGAACAACCCATTCTTACCTAAAATATTAGATCTCTACAATCCGTCTGGAAGCCAGTCAGCCATCAAGTAGGTAAACATTTATGGAGTTCTATCTTTAAAGAAAAGAAACACAAATGTTACTGTTTTGCTTTTAAAAAGGTTGTAAAAAATTACTTGTACAAATATAAAAAGAACAGCAATTTTTAAGAGTACTGAGTTAAGACTAAATCAAGACAGCATTGGCCATATATATTACTATAATCTCTGGCAACAAAAATATTGGTGTTTTTACATCTGAACACACTGGTGATGGGGTGGGATTATGAAACATCACATGCACAGTCCATATTTTTTTGCATGAAACGAGGTAAACTGCCTGCCCCCTACCATTATTTTTATTTTTACCATTACCAGACCATTAACCATAAAGATGAAATCAAAACTGTAAACAGCATATATTTCATAAAGCAAAAGCAAGTAGTGTTTTTTGTAGTTTCCCTCAATCCTTTCTTTTACTCCATAAAATGCAAAAGCCCTTAAAAAATTTAGCAATGCAAAGTTTAATAAAATCCCCACAAACTATGATGTTAAAATGGCTGTCATCATCTTCTGTGAATTTTTAGCCACAAGTTATTTGATCTCTCCAAGTGAGATATCAGCTTTTCCCTTTAGAGTACAGTTTTTAAAACTTGCAGCATCTTTGACCTTTAATCAGTCCCCAAACATTGCTCTTTAACACTATAAGCACCGCCAAGTTTGCCTTTCCTCAAAAGGCTTAACTTAACTGGTTGGCAGTTATTCGTCCCCAATATTCCCCAGCCTAGTAAAAGCTTCACAGATAATTCTATGAAAAGTCAGTACTTTAAATTCATACATAATATTACACACTGAGGACTCCTACGTGTAAATTCAATTCTCAGTACCTGCTAATATAAACGGAATGCAAATCCTTTAAAGTAAAAAAAAAAAAAAAAACGATTTAGGAAAGAAGGACAATTTTGTTTTCAAAACCAATTTAACTATTGAAGCTGAAACAGCATTTGAAGGAAACAAAGCACTCAAGCTTTTTTAAAAAAAATCATTTATTAATGTGCTAAAAATACAGCAGTCACCTAGAACTTTCTTTTCAGCAAACTGTGTCATAGCCTAATACTGCAGAGATGTAACTGTAGTTATAAAACCATTACAATTCAAATCTAAAATGAAGATACACAAACTTGTGTGCAAGATTAACACAATGTTTTTAAACATATTAAAATTTCTAAAAAGTCAGCTTTCATTCTCATAATACCCAATTCACACAAGGGATATCATGAAACTGTAGATTTACCTTTCAACTGTTTTATTTGAAAAAGAGCACAAGACTTTAAAAATCTTCTATGACTCAACACTAGATAAATTGCAACAAATATGGCTACATACCATCTCCAATTAATACAAGAGCTACTTTATTTACCTTGTAATATTCTACAGTAACTTTTTATAGATCTGGTATTTGAACATTATCCTAAAACATATGAGTAATCATTAAATGTGAGCCAATGTGAAGCAAACACTAAATGGTCCATTTAAACTTTTCCTTTTAAAGGTGTTTAATAATGGTCATCACACAAGTTCTGAATTATAAAAACAGTTACACTTGAACAATGATCAAAATGCTATGCAAATAACTGCAGCCTGGGTAGCAGAAAAATGCACACATTAAATACCAAACACAGAATATGACACCTTAGCAAATGCTTTTTTTAAGTAACTACATTTCTCAGTGTCATTTACAATTAGTTACTTTCACATATTATTCATTTTTAAGTAACCAATTTTCCTCCCGCAGAACAGTCTAATTCACCATTGTAATTTTTTTTTAAACTTTAAACTGTAGAGTTGGCATAAACAAGGCTGTTTTAGAAAATGTCTAAGTTTATATAATGTCATTTTAACCACACGACTATATTGCACTTAAATCTCAGACTTTTGTTTAAAGCTCTGTCTCCAAACTATTTTTTTAGATCAATTAAAATTTTAATTAATCGTTTCAGTAAAGTACTGAAGCAGTCTTCTGCAGCCTGCTTTCGCTCACTGGTGCGGAAGGAGTTAAAAGCCAACACCCCACAAAAAAAACAAGTTTTATTTTTAAGAAACAGACATGGCGCCTTTGTTCTTACAAACTAGGGAGACTGATCCCCTTTTCAGCAGCAAGGGGCAACAAATGCTCTTTACAGAACTATTTGAAGACCGTGGGACTGGGGGCTAAACATACAGTAAAGTCTACAGCCCCCACTACTCTTTAGTGTTGCATTGGAGTTAGTAACTGGTCTGCAGATGCCCCCTTGCCATGGTGCACTGGAGACGGACTGGGCTGCGCCCCCGCTCCAGTAGAGCCGCACTGGGGCCCAGGGACTGGTCTACAGCCTCCCCCCCTTAGTACTCCATGTGGAGACTAGGGGCCGGGGCCCCCTTAGTCCTGCACGGGAGGGGAGCTCTGCATACAGAGCACCGCTCGGTGTCTTTAGGGAGCTCGCAGAGGTGGGCTCCCTCCGGCTCTGCAGCACCCCGCGGCCCCCCAGCGCGAGAGACGCCCCCCTCAGTGCAAGGGGTTGCAGCGCTGGAGGGTGCTCGCTCCCGGCTCTCCGAGCCTACGGCGGGGGGAGGGGGGTGCAAGGATTCTCCCCTCCCCCTCCCGGCTCCAAGGACATTTTGTTTTTCCTCCCAAGGACAAAGAACAATGCGGCGAAGAGACGGAACCACTCACCAGCAATGCGGAGACCGGCGGCGGGCCGGGGTGCGGAGAGCCGTTCCCCTCCTCACCCTGCCTGCGGCGGCGTCCGGCTCGCCGCCCGCCCGCCCGCGGAGTTCGAGGCGCCGACGGAGTTTCGGAGCCCGGCGCCATCGCCCTCCGCCTGTCCGCAGCCCCGTACGGAGCTCGGCTCGCCGCTCTCCGTCTGCCCGGAACCCCTGAGTGCCGGGCCCGAAGTGGCCCGCGAGGCCGGTGCCCAGGTGCCTCCCCAACTCCGGCGAACCGAGCGGCGGCCGAACCACCTGAGAGCCCGGTTGCGGCTGCCTCCCCGGCCATCTTGTGCGGTGTGTGTGAGAGAGAGTCTGTCTCTCCCGTCTTCTCTCAACTCCTTCCTCCCCTCCCCCCGCACAACATGGCCGCCAGAGTCAGTACTCACTGCGGCGGGGAAGGGGCTGGGCCTGCGCTTCTACCCCCTGCCTACCGCTCACCCCCCCTTCCTGCCTTCTGCGCGTGCGCCAACCACTGCTCTCTACTGGCCGCGCTGCTCCCTCCCCTCCGGGCCCAGCGCGCGCCGATTCCATTGGCCGCGCTCCTCCTTCCTTCCTCCTCCCATCCTGGGCCCGCGCGCAACTCAGCCGCCGCTTCCTATTGGGCGCGCTTCTTACTGGTCTTTCCACCCCCACCCGCTCCACCGCAACCTCAACGGTCGCAGCACAGTATGGTGAGCGCGAGCCGCGTCTGCCACTCCCTATTGGCTCCGCTCCTTCTCTCGCTCCCCCTCCCATCACCCACGGCCTCGCGCGAGTCCTGCGCCCCTCTCTGAATCCATATATAGACTCTGCTTGGGGGAAGGGAGGGGGGAGGAGCATGTGAACAGTTGTGAGTGGTCGGCCTGCGAGGCGCTGTGAACGCAGGGGTCAATGTTATCGGCTAAAAAACACCTCCGGTCCCCCCCACCTCGGTCATCGCCACGAAACCATCTCCTGGCCTGGCCCAGCACAGCCATCGCCCCCTACTCCAGCCAGCGCCACAAAACCACCTCATGCCCCAACCTGAGCATCTCCCTGCGGCCTGGCCAGTGCCAGGAAACCACCTCACTCCCTGGCCCAGCCATCACTCTCTACCCCAGTCAGTGCCACCAAAATCACCTCACGCCCCAGGCGTTGCCCCCTACCTTGGCCAGTGCCATTGGAACCACCTCGGGCATCACTCCCTACCCCAGCCAGTGTCACCAAAACCACCTCATGCCCCACCCCAAGCATCACTCTGTACCCTGGCCAGTGCCATCAGAACTACCTTGTGCCCCAGGCTGGGCATCACCTCCTACTCCAGCCAGTGCCTCTGAAACCATCTCCTGGCCCAGCCCGGCCCACGCATTAACCACAACCACAGCCATTACTACTGAAACCACCTCATGCCCCAGCCTGGGTATCACTCCCTACCCTGGCCTGGCCAGTACCACCAAAACCATCTTGTGCCCCAGGCATCGCCCTCTACCCCGCCCAGTGCCACAGGAACCTCAGCCACCTCACATGCCAGGCATTGTCCCCTACCATGGCCAGTGTCACCAAAACCACAAGTGCCAGCCCAGCCCAGGTATTGCCCCCTACCCTAGCCAATGCCACTGAAACCACCTCACGCCCCAGCCCAGGCATCACCCTGTACCCCAGCCTGTGCCATTGAAAAACCACTTTGTGCCAGACATCACGTCCTATCCCAACCAATGCCACTGAATCCATATCCCAGCCCGACCCAGGCTTCATCTACCCTGGCCAGTGTCACCAAAACCACCTTGCGCGACAGCCCAGGCATTGCCCCATCCTGGCCACTGCCACTAATACCGCCTCATGCCCTGCCCCAGGCATCACCCCCTACCCCAGCCAGAACCAACTCAGGCCCCAGGCATTGGCCAGTGCCACCAAAACCACCGCTCACCCCAACCCAGCCTGGCCATTACCCCCTACCCTCACCATTGCCACCAAAACCATCTTGTGTCCTTTCCCGGCCTGAGTATCACTCCCCCTCCCCCAGAATTTGGTCCATGGATATTCTCACTATTTTGCATTTGAGTAGCTTTGTCCCTTATCTTGTGTGGGTGCCCTCTGTGTTGTGAACTTTACTCTTTCATTTCTTATTTATTCCTAAATCACCTCCAAAGACTTTACAAATGAAAGAAAATTAACTTAAAAAAATTAAAAGAGCTTCTTTGCTCTTCACCTCAAAAAATGTCTACACTAATTAACCACTGTTCTCCGTGGTACCAGATGACTGAACAAGGAGTAATGGTCTCAAGTTGCAGTGAGGGAGGTTTAGGTTGGATATTAGGCAAAAACTTTTTCACTAGGAGGGTGGAGAAGCACTGGAATGGGTTACCTAGGGAGGTGGTGGAATCTCCTTCCTTAGAGGTTTTTAAGATCAAGCTTGACAAAGCCCTGGGTGGGATGATTTAGTTGGGGATTAGTCCTGCTTTGAGCAGGGGGGTGGACTAGATGACCTCCTGAGGTCCCTTCCAACCCTGATATTCTATGATTCTATATTTCCATCCGTATTGCAAACTATTCCCATTTCCCTAATGTAAGCACAGTATTGACAGTCGCAAGTGTTCAACAATTATAAATCCAGCCCCTCAGTATCATGAGATTGTTTTAAAAATCATGAAATTAAAAAGCACCCAGGATTTTTTTTATTTGCCCTCTTATTTTTGACCCTTTCGGGGTACATATGCATTATATTTTCAAGTTACTGTGAGAGCTGGAAATGTACTTTTTTAATGGAAGCTGAGATTCTCATGTATGCATGTGACTCTAGGAGCTGAGGTTTTAAGAAAACCATAAAATGTCACAAGAATGTGGATAAAATCATGAGTTGACAACATGGAAAACGGGAAGGGCCAGATCCTCCACCTGTGTAATTGGTTAGTGAAATGTCCCATTTCACATATACTCAGCACCTTCATTTTGAAGTGCAATTGGCCAAGATGGCTGTCTGTCGTTTACTCCCAATTCTGATATCAGCTCTTGATGTCTAAAAAGTGGTAGCTGGGGCTCTCCCTTTCATCTGGCTGGAGATGGGCAGACCTTACATTGAAGCAGCTGGTTAGGAAATCGGTGCTCCCCCCACCATTCTCCCCCAACATGCCTGGCTCATTCTGTGGCCAAGTGTTATGCAAATCAGACTAGAAGATCACAATGATCTCTTCTGGCCTTACAATCTTGCTGCGTCCAGATTACTTTCCCTTTAAATTCCTCTTCTGTGGCCTTGTGTTTTTTTAAATCTCCCATCCATCACCATGTTTCTGTGCTTCTGTCTTCCTGGAAGACAAACAGCAATAATCAAGTGAGTAATCACCCAGCCAGTCCTAACAATGGAAGCCTAAATCCTGGCCTTCAACTGAGATTGGTCTTCCCTCTACCTCTCACATACACACGTCTGTTTAATTAGCCATTCCTCTATCTGCCCGATTCGACACACACCTGTATTCAGCTATTCCTCTGCGCACCCACTACACCTGGACTTAGCTACCTCTTCTTCAACATATGCATCCCCACATCACACAGTACTCAGTTACATCTACGTTCAACTACCCTGTCCACTGATATCTCCCCTCAAGTGGGTTGCTGTACTGCTATCTCCTCACTGCGTCACGATGTTTCCCTTTACCAGGCATGAAATATCAGAAAATATATAAGCATGCTGTAATGAGCATGTACTGCCCAGTTTGTTTGACATACAGGGCTTTTTCTTTCTTTTCTTTGTGCTTTTTCAGCCATTTAAAATTGTTTCAAGTTCTGTCACATTCACAAAGTGAGATGGCTCATCCTCCATTTTGTGTAAGGAGGATGTAACAAGAACACCACCAATGCTAAAGAAGATTATGGAAGGTTCTGGGGGGATGGGGGGGCAGTGGGGAGAGGGTTGTAGGGCCTTGAGATTTCGTTGCTTTTAATGGTACCCCAGCGATTCTATGACAGTGGAATCTTGGGCAGTTGGAGGCCAACTGTGACTTCTTAAATATCGGGCTCCTTAAACCTAGGAGCAGGAGGAATCTGGTTGGCTGAGAGGGCGTCAGGTCACTCTTCACTAACAGGTCTTTGAGGATGGAAAGATTCTGATCTGAGAGGAGTATTTTCTTCTGAGCAGATTGGATGGGCAGCACCTCAGGGGTGACAGAGGGAAGCAAGATGGGGTTCTTTCTTGAAAGAGGGAAAGGGCAGGGTGGAACGGTTTGCTCTATAGGTGAAAGAGAGTCAGATGTGCTCCCTGGTTGGGATAGAAGAGTGGATATTTTATTACTGCTTCTTGGTGGGAGAATTTAGCAGCAGGACTGTTCTTTACAGATAGAAGAGTAGAAAGCCAGCTGTCTGGTGAACATGGAGGGCAGAAAGTCTGCGCTGTGGTTTTGCAAACCAGGGCCCAAATTCTGCAAACATTAGTGCCACTGAACTCAATGGAACTTCTCGTGTGCGTGTAGTTATTCATATCTGAAAGTGTTTGCAGGGTTGCAACCTAGATGTTTACTTTCTGGTAGAACATCAATAGGAAAGGAAAAGAAAAGACAACAGGCTAGAAAATATCCAGGCTAAAACAAGAATAAAACAAAAATAGGGCACAGACAAGAGTTGTTATTTACATATTTATTTGTAACCAGGTTTAAGGGATGCAACATCCCACTAAGACTTATGACAGGAATTCTAGGATTCATCTTCTAGTATCTCTCATTTCCATTATTTATTTTGGGGCATTTTGGTACTTCCTAGAAAATTGTTTATTATACATTTATTTAAATTGTGATGGCATTACAGTAAATTTGAGCAACTGAGGTGCAAACATTTTAAAAATTCACAAAAGTTTACATTTCCACATTTGCAACCATAAAAAAAAGCCACGTACCACATTGCTGCTACATGTGACCAAAAACTGAACTACAGAAAGCATGAACAGGAAGTGATACAGGCTATAACTTGTAACTTACAGTGGATGGCAAGAATGAGACATAAATTCCACTGAAACTTCCTTAAAGTATGACACTTTTCTTTCAGAGTTAATTTTTAAAATAAATTATTGAAAAATTACAGTTGATGTTTTATAAGTTGTTTTAGATTTAAACTGAAAAGCAGAAACCCTAAAATTAAGTGAGGAAAGAACAATTATTTATTTATTTGATTATTAGTTCCTTGATTCTCTGTGCCAGCCCTGGTGCACGTTACGGCATCTTGGGGGCTGCTCTAACTTGCACTAGCTGCATACAATCTCTGTTTCATGTATTGCATGCTGGGTAATAACATAAGAGAACTCCATGTTTCTAAAACCACACTGGCTCTTTATTAAGAGAACTATTTACAGACCAGCTGCAAGTGTAGTCAGCAATCAAGTCATGCAAACAGACTGACTTCCTGGTGTCCTCTCCAAATTCTTCCCTCCTGC